TACAGTAGTTAGTAATCACATGAGGTTATTTAAATTTAAATTAATTAAAATTTAAATTTCAGTTCTTCAGTTGCAGTAGCCTCATTTCAAAAGTTCAACGCCACATACACCTACTGGCTACCTGACTGGATGGCACAGATATACGACGTTTCCATCATCATAGAAATGTCTATTGGAAAGTGACACTCTAGGTATAAAAATCAATCTTTTCCCTTAAGAGGAAAGTAAATTTTAAAATAAACATTTTTCCTGGTAGGTTTAACATTTCATAAATGGTCTATACTGGAAAAGTAAGGAGGTTATACAGAAATGGCTTCTTCCCATATTTTATCATGTTTACCATTGGTACTGCCTATAACTTTTAAATCAGGGAGAAATACTGCTTCAATAGTTGTTATCTGAGGAAACAGATCTCAGCATTGCTAATTTAATCCTTTTGCCATGATCTTTGGTGGAAAATACACTACAGATGGATATTGCCCTTGTCTCTTCATATGACATAAGAGACATCATGAATATTCTTCCTCTATTTAGAAACCATTTTCCCCTCTCATTCGTCAGAGATGAGGTATGAACTGAGTGTGAAGTGTGTTATCCAGGGTCCCTGGCAGGATTTCAGATCTGTTCATGCCCAGGGCCAACTGGCAGACAGAGACATCATCAGCACAGTACCCAGACGTCAATACACAGTACATTGTTAATATTCTGATGGGCTTGGTAATTGTCAAGGGCTCAGAATCATATGTAACCAAAAAGGTCACAGATTTCCATTCTACAGTTTCCTCAGAATACCAGATTTGTTGTTATTCTACAACTTGGAGGATGATTATTAAGCACAGAGAGGTGGTGATATGGAAGACACAACTGAAATCAGGCTGTAAGTTTCCAGCTGTTTGTTCAGCACTGCAGAAGGCTGCTCTTCAAACATCATTTTGCATTCGTCTTATTTCCTTTTTTTCTGATGGAAAATTTGGGGCAACCCAAAAATAGGATAATGAAAGCCAAATACAGACAC